TATGATTGAACTATGAAGATATATAGAGGACAGGAAAAAAAAATATATATATATGCCCGCATGTATGCCTATAAGCTACGGGTGTTTATAGAGCTGTGGTCTCCCAGCTCTCTTCTTACTCCCCCAATACCCCTCCACAGAGATGACTGTATTTATGTTTGGTATTTTGGAGCCCATGTTTCACAAAGCATGTCCTTGTAGCCGTAACCTGATCACTCAATGTGAGACGTTAGGTGTTAACTTAATGCTAGGAAGTATGGATTTATGTTACCCACGTGACCCCTCCTATCAACTTCCCCAATTTTGATGAAGTTTTATTAATTATTTATTGATTACCTTGAGAACGTTTAAATACTTAAATCTCTGTTATTTTATCAAGCTTAGTTTACATCTCTTCATTCCATTGTTTAGGAAGCTGAGACTCTCTGGGTTGTTTCTTGGTTTCTTGTTTTTTTCTTTCTATCTATCTCTCTCTATCTCTATATCATATATATATATATATATATATATATATATATATATGATGTGAAATACTTATAATGAATGCTTTAATTGGTGTCGCCATCTTAAGGGAATCTGTTTAACCCGTTTATATATTGAGGTTTTAAGGCAACATCAGGAAATCTATAGTAAACTGATTATCCTTGGTAAGTGGACCAAACCTCATGAATAATTAAACTTTCAGTGAGTAAACACTGTCACCCTTATCCTGCCACCTGCCAAACATTTTTCTGTGTTATGCTTACAAAGCAACTATGAAAAACAACTGCCCTATATTACAGAGAATTTCTTGTCTTTTCTTAGATGCACCATTGTTTTACATGCATGTGTATCTGCATGCAGTACCCGTGGAGACCAGAAGAGGGCATCTGGGACTGGTGTTACTGATGGCTGTGACCCACCAATGTGGGCTCTGGGAACTGAACCCAGGTCCTCTGAAAAACCAGTTAGTGCTCTTAACCTCTGAGCCATCTCTCCAGCCCACACTATGTTCTTCCCTAGTAAACATTTAGAAATATAATATCTGGATGACAATAGAATATAAATTTAGTTACAATGTATTTCAGCTGCTATATTAATATTTTTCTAGCCTTTCCCTTGTCTGCCTTAATGGCTAACCCAAAATTCGTACTTGAATTATATTTCAGGTTTCTTCAGTGGTCTCATGAAGCTTGGAATATCATTGCCACTGAGTCTTCATGAGCCTGAGGTCTTGTTTTCTACGTTACTGTGGTGCTTCCAGTGTCTTTTTCTCTATTCCTCTTTTATCCTATTTATAAGCTTTATTTTATCTCTTATTAACGTGTGGGGGGAGGCTCATGTACCACAGAGTGCGTGGGAGGCCAGGGAACAACTCCGTGGAATCAATTCTCTTCTTCCACCTCTCCGTGGGTTTTGGAGATCAGACTTGGTTGTCATGGCTGTGCAGCAAGCTCCCTCACCCATTGAGCCATCTTGTCTCCCTCTTTAATGTCATGTAGCTATAGCCTGACTTTTGTGTCACCAAAGTATAGAATACTCACATTCTGCTTTACAGTTACAGTATTCTCTCTGTTTTTAGTTTCAAAATTAAAAACAAACAAACAAACAAACCAAGGAACAGGCAGGTGCCTGTGACTCTACATGAGTTGCTCGCTGAAGAACAAGTTAGTGGCTGGAATTCTGCAATGCCTGTACATCCAACATGGCCGTTCTCACCTCCCATTGGTTAAGATCATGTCACCTCTTAGCTCCCTTCATATTCAGACCTTAGATCTTTTATTTACTTTCCCCTGGATTTTCAATAACCTTTCTCTTTCCTGCAGCTAACTAAGCAGCCAACACACCCTTTAAGTCATTGTGTGTCCATTGTTGTCAATATTGCTTTCTCCGTTCCTATCCAGGGCCTCTGTCCTTCCCTTTGGTCTCTGCTCTCCTCTCTGTTATCAACCCGTTATCCTGGCCTTCATTTCAAGCCTGCGTTACCACCCAAACATTCGTCACCATCCCTAGCTCCTCTTGAGTGTGTAGTCATATGTGTTAGTGTGTGTGTGTGTGTGGGTCATGTATGTGAAGGAGTGAAGGCCAGAGGTCAGCATTGTGTGTCTTCCTCTGTCATTCTCCACCCTGTTTTCTGAGACAAGGTTTCATTGAACCTGGTGCTTGCCAATTCAGCTAGACTGGCTGGGTGTGGGCCCCAGGGCTCATTCTGTCTTGACCTCCCCAGGGCTGAGATTTCAGGTGTATGCTACCCTTCCCTGTTTGTATGGGTGCTGGGGGCTCAAACTCGGGCCCTACTCTTTGTGTGGCAAGTACTTCATGGACTGAGGTATTTCCCCACCCTCTTTCTATGCCTCTCTCTCTCCCTCTTTCCCCTCCCCACCTCAGCTAACAATGGGAATATGCCACATGCTCTGTTTCTGCTAAGCCTCTTTAAACAATGGCTTCAGCTACCTTTCTGTGTCACAGCTCATCCCACACCGTCTCTGAGGCCTGGTACTGACTGACAGGTGCACCACCATCCTCTTACAGGCACACCATCGTCCACTAGTTTCAGACATGAGATAGTTTGT